AGGAGAGGAGAAGAGAAGAGAAGAGAAGAGAAGAGAAGAGAAGAGAAGAGAAGAGAAGAGAAGAGAAGAGAAGAGAAGAGAAGAGAAGAGAAGAGAAAAGCTAAGCTTTCCCAGAACTCGGGAGGCAGAAGCCAGTCTGGTCTACAGAGCAAGTCCAGGACAGCCAGGGCTACAGAGAGAAACCCTGTCTTAAAAAAAAGAAAGAAGGAAAGAAAGGGAATAAAGGAAGGAGGGAGGGAAAGGAAAGAGAAGAAAACAGGCTGAGTAGTCCACAGCTATGAAGCCAGGAAGCAGCGCTCCTCCATGGCCTCTGCTTCAGTTCTGCCTCCAGGTTCCTGCCAGGTTCCTGCCCTGACTTCCCTCAGAGATGGACTGTAACCTGTAAGCCAAAGAAGCCTTTTCTTCCCCCAAGATGTTTTTTCATAGTTTCATGTCAACAACAAAAACCTCACTAGGACCTGAGTTCAGTTCCCCGTTTCTACTCTGGGTATAACTCCAACTCCACAGAATCTGCTACTCTCTTCTGGCCCTTGTGCGTACTCAGAGGCATGCGCGCGTGCACACACACATTAAAATAATAAATCTTTTTTTAAACTTAGAAAAAAGGATTTTGAAATTTTTCATCATAAAGAAATGGCAAATATTTGAAGAATAAGTATGCCAATCCTCAAACATTCAATGTAGTGTACACATGAATCAAAGCACTGTGGGCGCTGGGGAGATGGCTGGGTTAAGAGCACTTGCTGCTCTTGCAGAGGACCTGGGTTCGATTCATACACCCACATGATGGCTCACAACATCTGTAACTCCAGTTCCTGGGGATCAAACACTCTCTTCTGACTTCCACAGGCACCAAGCACACACATGGTGCACATACATACACACAGGCAAAATACTCACACATAAAACAAAATTATCAATCTAATAAAAAGTTGAAATATTACATAGTACTCCACTAATGTATGCAGTTTTATGCCTTTACCTGTTAGTTAGAATAAACTAAAAAAATAAACTGTGTTAGAGAGGTGGGTCAGCAGCTAAGAACAACGGGCTGCTCTTGTAGGATACCTGGGTTCAATTCCCAGCACTCATGTGGTGGCTCACAACCACCTGTAACTCCAGTCCCAGGGGAATCTGACACACTCTTCTGGCCTCTGCAGGCACCAGGAGCACACATGGGGCGTATACACACACACACACACACACACACACACACACACACACACACACACACATTTAAAAAGACGAGGAAGCACCAGAGGACACGTGTAGGTTCTGTGCAGATCCTGCCATATACAGGGCCTTGAGCACCGTGGATATCACGCAGACACTGAGGGGTGACTGCACAGCCTGGGGTGGGGGGAGCTGGAGAACAGAGGGGACCTAAAGAGACTTTAGTTCCATCTGTCTGCTTGCTGTAGCTAAAATGAGTCCCTGTTTTACCTGTGCTATCAAAAACACCTTAAAATTTGAAGTCTTTGCTACACCCTGCCTTCACAGCGAGGCCACTCGGACCACTCTGTTTCTTTATCAGTGCTGGGGAGGAAACCCAAGGCCTCATGCATGCTGCACAATTGCTTAATCACCAACCACACTCCCCCAACACCCCAGTCGACACTGAGGCTAGCCCCCACACTCCCCGACACCCCAGTCGACACTGAGGCTAGCCCCCACACTCCCCTGACACCCCAGTCGACACTGAGGCTAGCCCC